TGGAAAACGACATTTGGAGGAAAATCATTTGTGTGGTTCTGTTTCACACCATTATGTGCAAATTTCAATGCTCAGTAAATATTTATCGATGGCCCAATGGAAGGCAATTGCTTGTTCCTGACAAGCTAACTTCCTGAAGGAGAACCCAAGCAGCTGTATCTCCCTTCCCCTGCTGTGTTCACCGATGACTGTGAGCAGGATTGTCCTTCTGTTAATTTCCCGGAGGCCACTGTGGACCAGGCACTGGGGACACTGCTCAAAGCCCCAGTTCTGCCCTCAAAGGGCTCGGCCTCCGGTGAGGAATGGAAGAACCAATAACCACAGTGCACGTGGCAGGTGCTGTGATGGAGGCGGGCACAGGGAGGTGACGGAGGCGGGCACAGGGAGGTGACCTGGATTTCTGAGAGCAAATATTAGTTTGCCAGGCTTTATTTTTGTGAGATGATGATGATGATGATGATGCCGTTGATGCCGATGGTTGTTTTACTTCTGGAGAGGGGCAGGGACGCACGGAGCAGGCAGGAGTGTGTCTGGACGCACTCCTGTGTTTTCTCCTGTCCCCCTGCTTCAGGCCTCTACGTAGCTCGGGCAGCATGTGCAGGGCAGACTGTCTTTCTAGCCTCCAGGCAGACGCAGCACAGGGCACAATCCATCCCCAGGGACACTGGTGCTGGCAGCTTTGCTGGGCTCCGTTGCCAGGGTTCTCCCCCGGGCAGCGCAGTGTTGGCTCCGGCCCACGGCACCTGCCCTGAGGCACAGCGCCCTGTTGGAGCCAAGAAGAAGGAAGCTTCCTGCCGGCAGCCTAAATAATGAGGGAAGACGGGCTGGGAGAGCCAGGGCACACTCACCTGCGGAGGGGCAGCCATGCGCTGCCGCCCTCTAGCTGGCTCAGCACCCTGATGGGCACATGGCGCCAGTTGGCCCAGGCCCTCCCTCGGTGCCACCTGGAACGGGTCACTAACAACTTGTATTTGCTGCTGCCAAAGGGCCTCTGCCCTGTCTGTCAGTCAAATGGAAAAATAGAGTTTTATTCTCTTCTGTGTTTAAGCAGAAAAATGGAGGCCTTCAGATGGCGGTGGCCCAAGTGAGGGGAGGGACTGATTCCGCTCCCCTGGGCTCTCGGGGTGAGGGCGCTGGCACTTTTGGCTGCAGGTGGGAGATCAGTGGGCCTCACGGTTCTCCCTTCGCCTCCGAGCCCGCTGCGCCCACAGAGCCCTGGCGACAGGCCCAGGAGCCCTGTGGCTGCCTCCCACTGGCAGAGCCAGTGTCCGGGGCCAGTTACCCTGGCCCCAACTTCATCGCACCTCAAACACCCCCACCTTGGACGCCCAGATAGCGGCCTTCCCAGGGAATCCCATGTACATGTTTGTGGGGTAAATGAGCAGATTCATGCTGAATTAATCTGTCCCTTTCAGTGTCATTCAGCTCATTTCCTTCCTTGTCCCTCATCCTCAGGGGTCGGTATTTGGCTCAATAAGTCGTGAGAATATGTCCACAATCACGATGTGATGTTTCTCGGGGACCGGAAGCCTTGGAGGTGCCCTTGCTCCTGCCGCTTGTGGCACTGTGGCCTGCCCTCCCCAGGCCTTTGACTCCACCGGGCCTGGGCATACACTGGGCGGTGGGGAGCATGGCCGCCTGGGGCCAACCGTAGGCGCGAATGTGCTCCCCAGACCTGCAGGCCCAGATCGGAGCCTGGGAATAGAGGTGACTCTGCCGTTTTGAGCGAGGAGCCCGCCGTTGAGGGGGTGCCACTGGACGTGGAGTCCCCTGAGGAGATGGTGGCGGCTTTATCCAAAGGTGGCAACATCGCCTGGTCTTAGAGGACAGATCCCCAAGGGGCTCAGGAGGGCCCAGGGAATTGGTGGGTGTTGGATGCGGAGATGAGAGCCAGGCAGTGCCCGGGTCACTCCGAGAGCGATGGCTGATGGCTGGTCACTGAAACAGGAAACAGAGAGGAGGGGAAAGGAGACGACGACTCAGTGTGGAGCCCAGTGAGTTGGAGCTGCCTGTGGGGCAGCTGCGTGAGGGTCAGTGACACGGAAAGTGGCCCTTCCCCTCCAGGACGTTCGTGTCGTCTGAGTCTCCGCACTTTCCTGTGGCCTCAGATCCCTTGGCACCCAGCCCCACGGGAGACGCGGGGAAAGGAGAGGGAGGGCGCCCGCCGTGCCCGGGCGCGGCACCGTGTGCCCAGGGAGCGTGTGTGCGGTGGATGCCCGTCCCTCAGAGCAGCACACCGTCCTTCCCCGGAACGCCCTCTAAACGCGTGGAACAGGGGGAGCTGCGTGTGTATTTCTGAGCGTGTCGAGTCCGTGCGCCCGGCACTGTGCAAGCTGCTGCGTTTCACTCTCTGCACAGTTTCTAACCTCCTGACGATGGGCGCTCGTCCTTTGAATTCTGGCCCAGGTACTTCCTGCCTCGACCGTTCAACCTCTGCCGGCCTGTCCTGGATCGCTGCGGTCTTCAGTGCGTCCCCAGCTCCCCGTGTTAGAGGGCAGTGCTGGGTCTGCCCTGAGCCCGTGGGGGCGGCCGATCGCCCCGGCCGCGTTTCCTTGCTGCGCCCTTGGTGTTTCGGAGCCGTTCTCCGCTCGGAAGCAATTAGTTTGGAGAAGGTTGATTCTTCAAGGTCCAGTGCTCGCCTGCCTTTCATTTGCTGAGGCCGCTGCACATTTTAATGAAGTTGTTTCATCTAAGTTGCCAAACACTAGATTTTTGCTGCTTCAATTCTAATTATCTCTGCTGGCAAATGCTATGTTTTATTAGGACCCGCAAGGGCTCCGTTTGTTAAATGTCCATGCACCGTGGCGTCAGGCACACAAATGAGGTCAGCTGTGCTTGCCGCTGGCTTACGGAGGGAAGGAGTGAAATATTCTCCCCGTGGTCGGACAGGGCGTTGGGACGGCCTGCCGTGGCGAGGTGGGATGTCGGGGTGGCCTTGTCTCCCGAGCTCAGCGTCCTTCGGCAGCAACAGCCGGCCTTGACTCTAAGTGTCCGAGTGACGGGGCTGTCCGTGGCGGCTCTAGGGGTCAGATGCTCATTCTCTCCTTTCCTGCAGTTGCCTGACACTTACATCCTGCTTCCTGGGTTGTGCGTCGAAGGCTGCAGCAGAAAAGGAACCACCCCTCCCGGTCTGGCTACAAGCTTATTGATCTTTCCTTTATTCTCCGCACCAAGTGTTTGGTCCTGAGTGCCCCAGCAAGGAGGGGAGGGGCGGCTTTCACCAGGGCGTTCCTTACCCCATGCCCTCCTGCAGCCTGGGGAGGGGCTGGCAGAGGCCTTCGGTCTACAGGGCTCCGGGACCCCCAGGCCAGGAGCCTCGGACCCAGTTGGCTGGGGTACGCTCCTGTGTTCTCAGTGTTCAGGGTGACGCAGGTCTGGAAAGGGGGCTTTTGTACAAAAGGAAATGCCTGTGTCCGTCCGGCTCTCACCCTGAGAGCACGAGGGAACCGGAAGCATGGGCTTCACTCGAGCCAAAGACACTGTCTAAAGCCGTGTAGCAGAGGCACCTGTCACCACGGAAGCTGTGCATCGAAGGCGCGTGGCTCTGTCTCCAGCGAGGCTGACCTGCACGCGCTCACAGACTGGTCTGTGAACAGGGAGTGGGATGAGTTGTTTCACTGTATGGGACAAAAAGGAAAGATTTATTAGCTTCTCATCACAAAAGCAGGTCTCCTTTGTAACATCAGTTACTTTGTCATGAGTAAAACGTGTCGCGTCAAGTTGGTGCTTATTAATCACCCTCTCCTTCCAAATAACTGTAGGAATAATGAGATGAAATTAGTGGCAGACCGTCGCCCCCACATTAATCTTCGTAAGCTGGTGTCAGCGAAACAGGCAAACACTAGCGTCCACTTCTAAGCGCGTGTGTCTAAAGAATGTCAGACACCTCTAGGCTTCGGTATTTGGAAGGCAAACTCCTTGACTTGTATCAACGAAGACCTAGCAGGTGAGCCTCCAGGACTCCCGTGGCTGTCCGCAGGGCAGTGCCCGATGTGACGGGCAGCTTCGGAGCCAGGTGCGGTGTGGGTACTTCTGTCAGACTTGGAGCCCCGTGTCCCCCTAGGACTCCGGCTGCTCTGCCGCACATCCTCACTCTGCGACACGGGTTATTGGAGGCTCTTCCACCTAGAGCAGTGGTCGGCAAACTCATTATCAACAGAGCCAAATATCAACAGTGCAACGATTGAAATTTCTTTGGAGAGCCAAATTTTTTAAACGTAAACTATATAGGTAGGTGCATTGTCATTAACTTAATTAGGGTC